TTTTTTTTTATCTCAATACAACTCTAAAAAAAAATCTGTTTACTGGACAGGCTGTGTCTGCATAACAGTGATTGTTCTCCTCTGCTGTGCGTAAAGCCCTTGCAGTCATTCACTTTGGTGTTTCCAGAAGTAAAAATCTGTACTTACTGCTGTACTTAATGTAACTGCCTTTAATGCTAGTGCGTTTTYGTAGCTTGTAAATCTGTGAAGATGACAGGTAAAACAGAGAAATAATGCCGATTTCTGTCAAGTCGGGTCATTGGTGTATGTGGCAGAAAAGGGTGTTTTTTACTATGTGTGTTGAGGATTCAGATAGCAGTTTAACCTGTACAAGGGCTAAGCGGCACTGGGAAACTGCCGCAAGTACACAAGCATGTGACAGAAAGAGGCATATGGCTATATAGAGGGYTTGCTGTGATGTTGAAAGCATTTTCTTAAAAAGTCCTAGTGAAAACTGCAATTGGATTTTTACATTATTATTTAAAATAAAGCTAGAGATCAGGGAAGAGATTCTGCAGCGAGAGCGAACTTCCTCCTTACGAGTGTTTGGCTTTGATGCAGAATTCAGCAACGTAAGGAGAAAATTCAGACGAGCTCGTGTGAGCGGGGAGTCCGAGCTCATGCCTGTCAGGAGCCGGGTTCCTGCCCCCTGAGGAAATGGGAATATTTGCAAATAAAACTACTGTAGTTGTAATTTGTGTGGGTGAGTGAGTAGAGATGTGAACTTGAGAGTCATGTTTAGCACTGGGGKTTGATTTTGTACTTTCTTGTAGACTTTTGACTGGGAGAAAACTCAGAAAGCATTAAGAACTACTAGAAAACCTAGTATGCTGTTGGGTTACAGCATATATCCAGATTGTAGCTGTCTTTCCCCTGGGAATGCATTTGGTTACAAACTCGAATCTTCCCAATATGCATGTAAAATTGTTTTTATCTCCCCCAAAGAAAATTGAGTGCCTTACAGTTTTGGTAAAGAAGGAGTCTTATAGGCAAACCTGGGGTGTGTAGCAGCAACATAAGAGTTAAAGACCTTGCAAGAGCAGCAGCACCTTAGAATCCATTTAATAACAAAGTGCTGGTTTAATTGGGTTGGTTGCTAGGGAATGGATCCAGCACTGTGGATTTCCATGTATTTAAACACCAGGCGAATGGCACACCTAAGTCCACTCATATAATGCACCTGGTGTTGGTGCTGGCCGTAACGCAGCACAGGTGTGAGCAGCAGTTTGCCAGCCTGTTTTCCCTTCCCCACATGGACCCCCTGTTGTGGCTCGTACACCGCAGCCCTGCTCGGTTGCAGCTGCTCCACGAGTCCCAGCTTTGTCTGGCTTTAGTTTTGGGTGGTTGAGGGGCTGTATTAGGCTGATTTTAATAAGATTCAGTTAACCCAAATGCGACTTTTGCACTTGATATCCTTACATACTTGATATAAGAATTAGTTTAAGTGCTTCTACTTTTCTACCCCAGCAAGCGTCAGATTCTGCTCTAATTGTGTTGRATTGAAATAATTAACTGAAGTTATGCTCAGTTTACACTCGGTACAGTTGTGTTAGGGAGCGTAGGAAATATTTCTTGATTAGCTGTAGTAGCATCAGCAAGGTTGGGAGGGCTGGTGGGGTGCAGGCTACAATTACTTGCACAGTGCCTGTTACATCTGTGCCGAGTAAAGCTGATCGATTTAAAGCATGTTAAAAAAGACCATCGGGGGTAAAGCTGACACCAGCCATCCCTGTGCATCCGCAGCAGACCTGACAGTGGTCTCAGAGCGTGAGAGCAATAAGAAAGTCTTTTCCCGGTGAAAATACTGCTTGAGAACTAAATTTAGCTACGTGGCTTTATAAATAGAAGAAACACAGTAAAATCGGGTTTTATCTCGTCAACTTTTTAAATGAGAGTTAGTCTTAATGCCTTGTGTTGCTGCCCTGGAGAGCTGAACTGTCTCTGTTCTCCTTGCCCAGGCTAGGAGTTAGGCACAATAAGAGGCAGCTGTATCTAATTTAGACAGTGAAGGGAGTCGGGGACTTGTTAAACTCAACCGTAAACTATGGAAAATAAGAGGACCAGACTTTCTCTAAAGGAAACTGCTAGAGGGTTCCATAGGCTTAATAAAGCTTGGCTGGATGCCCCAGCTGAAGAGCATTTCRTAAATTTCTGATAGCACTTGCCTAAATATAAAACGGGAGTGACCAGACTTGTCAAGTTTATATATGTAAGTTGGAAGAAAATAAGAGGTATACATAATTCCCCGGAGAGCCGCTGCAGATTAAGCATCTCCAGTACTGGAGGATGGCCTGCAGAGGCATGGAAAGCCTGGACCATCTGTACTGCTCAGATCAACGTGCGTCGCTGGCGAGGGCAGCTGTTGGGAGCAAAGGCAGGCGGGGGGCCCTGCCGTGGAGCTCTGCTGCCTTCTCTTGAGTCACACGTTAAACTTCTTGACAGAGATTGGGGGGGACTGTTGAGAGAGAGAGACCTCGTGTTGTGTTTTCTCTCTGAAGTTCACCAAAGACTATTAAAAAAAACAGTCTACATTTGACCACTGGCAGCCTATGCAAGGGACACTCTTGCTTTTTTGAGAGCTATTTAAAACTGACTTTTAGATTTCACTGCAAAATGTGCTGTTAGCAGTGTCCTATCTATCTTAGGTGAAAACACATTACAAAAATAGGTTATTTTCTAAAATTGCTTTAATTTTTCTTACCTAGTTATTGATATGAGTTTTGCGCGTAATTATATGCTTCGAGCTGCTTCCCAGCAGTACTTACCCTGGTAATAATAGGAAGGTAACGTGTCAGATTAGTTGAGAAGTCTGCAGTGTGGAGGGGGCTGGGGAGCAGATAACAGGTTTGGTGGAAGATGCCTGTTGCATTTGACATGAAATTCTCTCTTCCACCCACTGTATCCTCTGGGAGATAACTGTAATTCTTCTAACCATAAATACACAAGCGTGGACAAAATAGCTGGAGGAGAGCAGTCTGTACCTGCCCGCTTGCATTAAGTATTTTGTTAGATAAGCAGTGCTGTGAGCTGGGGGCTGTGTTGACAGTGGCTACAGTGRAGTGGGGAAGGGATAAAACTACCTGACAAAGGCCGAGGGGAGAGGGACAATATAGTCAGGAGGTTGCTTGGTGAGCCCTTGTTTAAAAGAAGGGAAGAAAATGTGAGGAAGGCTGTTGTATTCATGATACTTTCAACTGATTCAACTGATATGTGCGCGTATAGCAAGAAGGCACAACGTTCTAAAAACTGCAAGTCATTAAAATGCTGTTATTTAGGGAAGCAGCTACTATGGAGCAAGAGAAAAATAGCCTTTAGGCCTTCAGAAAATTGCACGTGTGTAATGAAAATCTGTGTTATCCATTTAGTAAAGTTTGTTTATGGAAGTACCTACTTGGTCGTTTCCGAAAAGCGGGAGCCATTTCTTTGGGGCTGCCCCTCCAGAGCTGGTATCTGGGAATATAGGAATATACACCTGCTAATCTATTTTTTTCCCTTTTTTGAAACAGATCCAGATTTGCCTGTCAACTCTCAAGCTGCCTTTGACTACTCCAGATAGGTGCGACACGTTGAATCTGACATGGTTCTTCCCAGCTGTGATGCTGCAGATGGGATTCTGACTATGAGGAAGGAGCACTGATAGGATTGATCCGACTCACTGGTGTTTCTTCTGATTCAGCCTGGCAGCAGAGGGACTGGAGCTGTAACTATTGTTTGTTCATTTTACCCTAGTGGATAGGAAAAGAAGGTAAGTGCTAAAACCTCTGCAAGAAATTCTTTCTAGAAAGAAAGTTAATTCCACCAACTTACGAAATTTATTGAGGAGACTCGTTAGAAAGATTTTTCTTTTCCTCAGRACCCTATTAATGTGCATTTTTGGAAAATAGCCTTAATAAATGTTGCATCATACTACAGTGATATATCTATTGATTTATATAAAAATTTAGTGTGATTTTTTTAAATAAGCATAGAAGCTGATATAATTTTTCAGGCCAGTGGTTTTGCTACTGCAGGAGAACACTTTTAATCAAAGTTTATCTCAAAGAACAGACACTGACAGAGATGAAGTAATATTGTGGCTATGGAATAATCTGCTGGAGGAAAMACTGTTTTCCCAAGTGGCTCTGGGAACAGAATAGCCAGTGTATTTCTTTGGATAAAACACACTGTGCTAGCTTCTTTCTGCTAAGGCATTTCTGGTCTTTACGAAGAGCAGATATTCTCCCTTGTGTCATTTTTAATTGATTTCCAGTGCATTACAAGAGATCATTGGCACCAGTCCAGGAAAAGGCAGGCAGAGAGTAGGGAATTCATCAAAAACTGGCTCATTGATCAATGGATCTGATGAAATAATTAGCACTTGGTATTTTCAATATGATTTCATACTGATATTTTGAATTCTGAAAGCAAGAGAGAATCTTTTTATAACAGAAAAACACCAACCAAACTARGATTTCAAAAAAGCTTTAATATACTTACTAATTTTTAGGGACTGCTTTGTAGGAATGGCTAGGATTTTTTTTATCGACTCATAAAAGGAGCAGGATCAGAGCATTGTGCTCTGTTTTGAAAATGAGTCAATTTTGCAGTATTTTATTTATGATGGAGAGAAGTCTTAGGCAGGGCAGAATTCATTGCTTCCATTTCCCAAAGTTTGCAGGAGTGGGCCTTAAATGTATTTTTTAATAATAASTGAAAAAATCGGAAACCAATAGGTATCATGAATGATTATCACAGGATTATCAGAGCTGTAGTGGACTTCAAACACTGTCATCCCATGGTTCCAAGATTTAGGCAGCCTGTTGCACTCTTAATAACTTGCAAGACAAAACAGRTCACATGAAGTCTGAAAGAGCCTTCTGTTTGAAGATCCTTTATGAATCCTAATGTATGTTGTGAATTCAGTAGATTTTGCCCTAGTGCCGTTTTAGAATGTAGATAGACATGTTTTCTTCTCCACCATCTCCATTTTTGATGCASTTAACAAAACTGTCAACTCAAAACATCCCAAAAACTCAAGGAGGAAGGTTGGTTTCAGAATGTATCAAAGCAATAATTTTGATCTCCTGCTAAATTCTTCACCTATTGGTACATTCAGAGTAAAAATTTCATGGGGGAAATAAATACTGTTTTTGCTTTCTGATGTAGGAGCTCCGCAAACTAAAAAGAAATAGAAGACGTTAACCCACCTTGTTCAGAGCAAACACTAAATCAGCACAATATGGCACAACATAGCATTGTCCTTGGAATATTCATGATGACTGTTTTATCACTGCTACATGGAAGTTCAGCTTTCCTATTAAATCAACGTCTGAAGGGAAGATTTCAGAGAGACCGTAGAAACATCCGTCCAAACATCATTCTTGTTCTTACTGATGATCAAGATGTAGAACTTGGTAAGAGCCTAAGATAAAGAGATTTTTAGCTAATGAGCATGGRGTTGCTTTTCCTTGGAACTAGATTTTGTATTCAAACTAATTATCTTTTTTTTCTTCAAGTGTGAAATTTGATAGAAAAAAGCTTCCATTTATATGGAAAATACCTCCTAACTGCCTGCAATACAAGGATAGGAAATGGTCGTTTCAGCTTAAAATGTCAAACTTCCTGTTTCTGTGAAAATGTGAGATTCCTGCCTATCTGTGCTCATCTCCACGCCTAAACTGCTTCTGGCAATTGCACGTATAACCTGGGAAGCTGCATGCCAAAGCAATAGGTTTGAATTCATAGCTGATTATTACACTGTATAATTACTCAAATTCTTTGTATAATTGCAGACATTCATTGCAATTACAATTTTAATTACTTAAATGATACCCAGTGTGTACATACTATTCTTGGTATTGTCCATTTAGATGGATCTTTGATTACTGACCAAAATCACTTAATATGCAGAGAGTCTACTGTTTTGCTCAACAGCATGTTAGTTGTTGAAGAAAATAGGTAAAGATTAAACGCACACTTTGCCTAATGTTTTGGAATGATGAATTAAGAGTTTGAGTTTTGTTTTGTTTCCCCAACAGGTTTATATTCACCAAATAATGTTTATTTTGTCTTAATCGCTTTTCCTAAATACAGTTTAACATTAATAATTTTACATTATAAATACACTTTTAAATGGATATAAAGCTGGATTGATCTGAAAGGTGAGAGCTTGTATGTGTGTAGTTTGCTGCTTCTGATAGTTACTGCATCAGATTTGTTCCATAGAAGGAAAAAATCAGAAAACAAGCATTGCAGAAGATATGGAACAGAATAGTAGAGCTAACTAATTTTTATTATGTACAYGCCTACTCTTATAAATGAGAAGTTTATCATAGCAACATGGCAATATTCTCATAGATGCTTCCTTTTGATCAGTCTTAGTGCATGTCTGCTCTACTGCATTTTTTTAAAGAAGAGATATCTTGTTACAGAAGTAAATCCACAAATACAAGTTTAGTTCAAATGAGCAAGCTGCTTTGGTTTGCTTACTATTTTTTGGTGAAATTGCTATTTTTATGCAAAAATATGGTTTCAATAATGTATATATAAAAAAAGAAATCTAAGCACTTTATCTTGCAAGCTCAGAAGGTGGTCCTAAAAAATTTATCATTTCCTACTTTGCGCTAGCCTGCTTGTTTCTGATGCAATTGTTAAAGTCCTTTGGGCAGTATATTTCTCTTCTCTGATAGTCTGATGCTTTCCAATTTCAAGCATAATGGGCATGTGTCCACTCAAATTAAGATCTAACTGAAGAAAATGAATTTGTTGAAGCTGAGATGTGATATTCCTCATTTGTCATTAATGGCTTCATGAGACCCGATATTTGAATTAATTTTTATTCCTGTGTATTATCTGCTGAACTGTCCAAGTTAATCAAAATTGCCATTTGTGGGGCCTGTGGTTAATGTATTTAGGAAAGGGGAAAGCAAGATATGAATTGCAAATAAAAGCTAAGGAAAACATGGATGTTATCGAAGTGTGGCAGAGAAAGCTCTGAATAGCCAAGATTCCAGCTAYTTCTAAGAATGTAACTGATGGGTATTGTAGCTTTTATTTTTCTTCCGTGGCTACTTTGGAGGCCAAAGGGAAGGCAACACAATTTCAAGTGCTCTAACAACCTTCTCTTTATTTAGTTTAGACCCTGGATTTAACAATGTGCCAGTAGCAGGTGGGATTTGCCAGAAGGTTATGTCCTTTCAGGAAAGGAGTTCAGTTTCTTCTTTATTAATGCTGTTAATCATGCATTTTACTTGGGAAACCGATCCCCAGCATTATGTTGAAGAAAGGACAGGGCTGCTGAAGAGTGGCAGAATGTGCAGGTTGAAGGAGATCCTTGGTGCAAATTGGGATGGATACAAAGGGGAGGAGGCAGACAGGAACATCACGTGCTACTGAAACATATACACCCAACTGTGTAATCAGGAAAGTTGTACTGAGAAATTGGATGTAAAGAAAAAGAAGACTATGTTGATGAGGAAAAAGAATTAATTAGAAGCAAAGATTTTTTTTTCCCATTAGAGCTATATAAATCCAAGTTAGTCTAATGCTGATGTCCCCTGTGCAATGGACTCAGCACCTCCAATTTAATTAGGTTTGACTACCATGTACCTCTAGTTTAAGAAGCCGGCTTATCTGGAGAAAAGTCTGATTGTTTAGAAGACGCTTCAGATGATGGGGAAATCTTGATGAGAGGAAATTCGTATTTTCTTACCTATCCCACTCAAAAATTACAAATGTAGCACAGAAAATACTGCTTCTTAATTATCATACATAGAGATGAGAATCTTAGAGCTTCATTAAAATGAAACTCAGGCCAAAGGAGATATTGAAGATGGGAAAAAGTTGTCTAATAAGGTTCAAATAGAATGCTAATAGGCTTTAGGGGAGATTGTTAATAAACATTCCAGGAATCCAGCTGACATATTTGCCTGTGGATATTTTGGAAATATTTTGGAAATTTTGCTTAGTAAATGAAGTCAACTGGAGCTTAATGCAAACTCTTTAACAAGTGGAATACTTTAAAACAAATGTAAATTATATGATATCTGATAATGAAATACAATTAATGAGAAAGTCAATATTATCTTTTAAAATAATTGTTAATTTTTTATAGCAAATTTCCATTACAGCCTCATACTGAGCAGTAAGTAATGCATTCTTGCAATAGTACAGGTAATTTTATTCCATTACTGATTCATAATTTTCTCCTATAGATGTTTGGATACCTTTTAGCTGCTTTGTGCTATGACAGTCAAGACCTCATGAGAAATATGCGTGGTTTTAGTGTGTGTTCTCCATTATATAAGTCAAAATATCCATCCTATTCCTGCAGTGAACTTTGAAGAGACGCTAAACAAAATTATGGATCGCACACAAATTTCTAGCAGAATTTCAGCCTGATCCTTGCCTCATTTTGTCCAATGAGCACSTTCAATGCATCAAATTGTTAAAATGCTCCTATTTTTCATGGCAGTCCAGTGGCTGCCCTTTTTTTTTTTCTGAAAATAATTTGAACACTTATTTAAGTCATATTTTTTCCCTATCAGAGATTTTAAGTGGGTAAAAGACCATTCTCTGAAGAAAACACACTTCAAAGCATCACTTCCATTGGTACATGGGCTAGTGACGCACTGGAAGGTTTTCCAACTCAAGAAAAGGTGACCTGGGGAGTTTCCAGTTGCCGATTAACACAACTAATCTTCTGCCACAGAAAAATCAATTCCTACTTTTTTCACAATTCCATGTTTGTATTGGAAGCAAGCTGGAACAAAAGTTTTGGTTGGCTGGTTTAACGCTGTTTAAAATATTTAAAGCTGGCCTATTTAAGACTGCRCGAGAGTGTGCTGGATTCTTGCCTTCCACTGATCTGTCAGTCTGCATTAGTTCTCAAACTGGGCAAGCAGATTAGATCATATGTTTTTGTATTAAAGTGTTGATATACAGTGCCTTGTCATTACAGCAATTTTATTAAAGGAGGTTACTGACCTCAAGGGGAGACTTAACATATACTGTTATTTATGCACAGATGCCTCTGTCATTTAAAGAGCTTGTTAAATTTTATTTTAATATTGAAATGGTAAAATACTGGAATGCTTTGCCTTTTTGTGCTTGGTCTTGGTCATAAGACACCACAGAGGAAACATTCACAGTTTTCAGGCTCACATAACTGACTGTTATAACTTTAATTGAGTTAGTRCCTTGGAGGAAAGGAAGATTGCTCCCATAACACACGCTTTCTTATGCTACACTTAAGGGAACAAGAAAAATCTCACTTTGTCAGAAGCTTCCTCTTGCTGTGTGCCCCAGCAAGCCCTCGTGGGGACTGTGGTACGCTGCCCTGTAAAGTGATGTGATGGAGAACTGTTCTGATTTGAAAAATACACAAGTAGATGTCTTATATACTCATTCAAATGAAATGATCTCAAGAAAACTAATGCCATGGCAATTTAAAAATGAAACTACCTACAGTAGCAACTGACCTTCCTTCGTGGTGCTGGAGAGCCAGATTTGTATGGGGCTTATCACCATTTTTCTGCTAGGTTCTAACTCCTGGTTATATCAGCGTGCCCTGTATCAAACCGACGTACTGTTGCAATTTCATAATGAAATCCCTGCCTGAAGAGCTTAAAAGAAACCTAAACCCCTTATCAATAGAAAGAGTATACAGTTTGTGCCCGATGGTTGCAGGATGCATTGATTAAAACTGAACTATTAATTCAACTCAACCTTGGTAAATTAGCCCCAAACCAGCTACAGTGTCATCTTTTGCCATGTTGTCTGTTGGCTTTCTCTGCTCATTACAGGAAGGGAGGGCTGGTGTTGGCAGGTTTGCTCTCCCTTGGAAAGTAATGCTGGTAGCAGGTATCATTATAATGTCCTTAGAAAATGAAAATTCTTCCTTCATCAAGAATAGCCTACCCTGATGCAGTTTTAATGATCAGGCACTATTAGATGAAAGAGACCTAATTTTCTTTTCCCTCTGATCTTTGATATTTCTGTATTTAAGAAAGATTCTGATATGCATAACAGATTTTGGTTTGGATGGTATCTGTGCTGAAGATTCAGTTTGGGTACAAAGCCTAAACAGGAAAAGATGTAGCCATTTTGCAGCAGTGTGGCTGCACAGAGTGCTCTCTCATCTACAGTGGWAGATGTTGCTCTTGGAGAGAGAGAAAGAAATGCTTGAAAATGTGTAATAGGCTATATCAACAGACTGGAGTCAAATCCAGGTTAGGACTTCAGTATCTGGGCCTTGCTAAAGCACTAGGCGAACTTTGATAGAGTGCTTAGTTCTTGTGACTGAAACAGGAAAATCCTTCTGAGATGATTTTTTTTCTTCCAGGTTCAATGCAAGTCATGAATAAGACGAGGCGAATCATGGAACATGGAGGCGCTCACTTCATCAATGCCTTTGTGACGACACCCATGTGCTGCCCATCTCGCTCCTCTATTCTTACAGGGAAGTACGTCCACAACCACAACACTTACACTAACAACGAGAACTGTTCTTCTCCATCCTGGCAGGCTCAGCATGAAATACGGACGTTTGCTGTGTACCTCAACAACACGGGGTACAGAACAGGTAAGGTCAAGGATGGCTCTATCTGAAAGTTGCCTTAGTCCTCTCCCTACAACTGCCRTTTGTTTATAACCTTTTAATTTGTTCTCATGAAGGGCTGCAACAATGCAGGATGCCAGATGTTCAATTTATTTTTACTTGTAGAAATTAAGAAAAAAGTAAAAAATTAGAAGTGGGATGGCTGAAAATAGCATACATGCTCTAGGAGTAGAATATCTTGTTATATAATTGAACGCAAGGTGCAGCACATGTAAAATATGCCCGGCAGTTACCTGAAGTGAGTAGAACAGACAAGAAAGAAAATATGGGAAGGAATTAGTGGTTTTTTTTTTTTTTTAATAAAAAAAGATATATAAATCAAACTAAGAACACAAAAGAGAGGACTGCTCCTTGCTCYGTGCTTTGGGGCATAACTGTCAACTGGATTGGTTTCTCTAGAGAGTCCATTCCTAGAAAGGTGTTTAAGATATATCACAACTGGAGGGTAGTCTGCAAGATCAAATGAGCTCCTGAGAAATAAATGATCCTCTTTGCATGCTGTTCTCCCTAGGAATAAAGATCCTGTAAAAGAGATTTCGTAAAATATGGAACATTTGTTTCTTCTTGTGTTCTCCAGAYGCAGGATATAGGAGCTTGCCCACTGCAGTGTGTTTCTGTCACTTTCTGTCATGTTGAGAAACAGGCATAAATCTGAATCTGTTCATGTTATTTATAGTGTATACAGCATAGTATTATAATTGTTATTTATAGAGTATGTTTGTGCTTTGGATTTATGCTATATGATGCTTGATCTTGGTGAGGCTTCTAGAGACTAGTATAGATCTTAACGAGTAGATTTACTGTTTAGTACAGTATTTAAAATGGTATTTTTAACTACTAGTTTTTCTTTTCAGTCATTCACATGAGCTTTTCCATCTGATTACAGCAAAACTTGGTCTTTAAACAAATAGATAATTTCCTTGTTTTGTTTTTCTAAATTAAAGACCTGAATCAATTTGGAAAGGAATAAACAAGGGAAAGTGCACGTACCTTATTATTTTATTGTTGTTTCCTATCATTTATCATTCTTGGCATTAATGCCAATGATCTTATGAACATCAAGGTTAATGTTTAATTCTTTATTGAGCATTTCTTTTGTGTTTGCTGATACTTGTTTATTGTAATTGTTATATTTGTTGACTATATTTTAAGCACCTGCAAGCTCCAGTAAGTTCCACTTCTATTGCAGCTGTCCTACTTTTCATAGGTCTTGTACATTAACTTAATATTTAGTTTTAGGCCCAAGATCTTAGTAACTCTGTATTCTTTTTTTAAGTCTTCCACTTCTAATTTGAAAACTGAAGGTGCTGAAACACACAGAAATAGTGCTTTTACATGTACAAAATAAGTGTCCAAACTTCAGGTGTAAATGATACCCTTGTGAAGTTAAACRTATTTTATTATACAAATATTAATGCAAGCTGCCATTTTTGGAGGCTTCTGTCCGTTTGTGATCTCTGATTAAAGTCTAGAACTTACTAATATGAAAGGACTGTCAGCAGTATGAAGGTATGTTTTACCTATTTTGTCCAAAGATCTGATCAGAATTACCTGCTTTATAAACATCAGGAAATTGTGCTTTAGCAGCTTTGTTCATTTAGTTTCTCAGTTTTCAATAGTAATCCGCTATAAAGCAAATATTCTGGATGTTACAGATACAGTTTCTCTGAGATGGGAACCTCCTTGAACATTATTACAGTGAACAAAAGATCAAAAAGCATAGGAGTTCATTTGTAGATGTTTTAAATATAAGCCTTTTCAGACTTAATTTGATACACGGGTTCATAGCTCTGGAGTGAGAAGGCTGTTATTTTGGGAGAGAGATTGGATTTTTTGTGTTTTCATCTCTCAGGCTTCCTCCCTGTGTTTCCCTCTTTCCTTTTCATTCTCCTATAAACACGAAGGAAGAAAGGTTGCTCTCTTACTCCACCTTCCCTCACTCTTTCTTGCCCCTCACTTCACATCTCGCTGCCTGTATCTCTGCTCATTGATCTACCTATGTTCTCCTGCTGTTGCAAAGGAGGGTTCTGCTGTGATCATTCTTCCTGCATTGTAGGATTTTTGCTTTTTCTTGTGGCAGTGGCATTTCTGCTTTTGATTCGTACAGACTTGTCCGATTGCCAGATTTGTGCCGCTGCTGACACCTTTGGGAAAGGTGCAGATGATGTGGAGGCAGGAGGGGTCCGTGTGCTGCAGGATTCTCCAGCACAATTTATTTGAAAGTAACAAATGTGAGAGGATATAGAAGAGGTATGGCTTTCCTGTAACTGCTCCCCAGTTTCAAGATTTGTTGTCACTTTGGTATTTTTTTTTTTCACATTTTGAAAACTTTGATCTGCTTTTGATTAGGTCTAGGCAAAATAGAGGTGAAAATAAGAGACTGGGCTCAAGATAAACTCTGTCATAGATTTTAAATGGCTGGGATATGTGCCATCATGCAGAAGGCTCACTTCACCTTGTGTGTCCAATTAAAATTATGATTAGGACAGTGCAAAGGAGGCTTTTCCTTCTACCACTGAAGCTATTAAGACCATGGGTGTTCCAGGTGCATCTTCCTCAGCACCAAACTGTTCCAATGAAAAGAAAAAAAAGCCAGTGTCATGAACAGTGACTTGGAAGCTGTGCTCTCTTTGTATAGGGACTACATSTAGACACCAGATTCCTGATCTCAGTACATTGAACAAAGAGACCTATTTTGAAGAGCTTCTCACATCCTTGTCCTATTAAAACATTGTGGGAAATTATGCAAGAAGGACMACTTATATAAACATGCCCAGTCAATTGATGAATTAATTGTTCGAAAAGTGCATGTAAGCAATGTCTGAATCATTAGTAAGTTAAAACAGTGGGCAGATTATTGGAGAGTAAGAGAAACAAAGAGATCCTGTGACAAACATTTCTGAATGTCAGAGGATTTCTCTGCCAAAGGTTCCTGGGTAAACATTTACAGAAAGAGTGCACTGTTTTCTGTGAATATACACAATATACACATCTCTTTCCATGGGACAGCTTTTCAAATGCTCAATGCATTGTTCCATGCTCGTGTCCTGCAACAACAAAAGCTAAGATGTTTTATTGAAGCACGATTTTAAACTTTCCTGTAGACATTACTTAATGAGAAAAACTTCTCTTTTCTGTCTATCTCTCTGAATGATTAGGTCTTAAAACTGGGGACTGATTCCAGAATATTTTGTCAGCCTTATCTACAGTCAGGAAATGAAAAGACATGTTTATCTTATTAAATTCAACAGAATTAGGGATGGTGGGCCAAATTCAGCCTGGCAGAAGGAAGCATTTGTCTCAGTGAATCTTTTGTGAGAGTTGTTAATTTATACTAGGATTTAAAGTGGCTCAGTATGCCATAAAAGCAGTACAAATCTTGGCCAACTTACCATCCTCACTCTTATAGAGCAGTACCCTATGGTACACCTGGCCTTTTCAGTTAAATGAACACAATAAGAACAAGGCAAAAAGCTGCTTGCTGTGTGGTAATGTCTCAATATCTCACTCTACTGCTAAGCCCATACTTGAATTATGCAAAAAATTAATAAATGCCATTTTGCACCATTCACATATTTTGAACCTAGAGAAAAGTCATTATGGGAGGTCTGTCTCTGCCATTATAAAATATTTCCTGGGAATAAAAGTAATAATCATACTTAGCACTTCCACAGGGCTTTATATTAATCAACTAATGAATTCATTAAAATTCAGTGACAAGCTTCCATTTCCTCCCATTAATATTAGACTAAGAACATACAGTGGCTGACTGCATTCAAGTAATTATTTTTGCACTCCACTGTCTGAGTCTTTGACATTTTAAAGTGATTTTAACATTAAACAGTAAGAAAGAGGAGAAAAGACTATTGGTAAATGTTTATTAAAGGAGGAAGGAACCTGAAAAATGTGACAGATTTTAATACCCAGATACATGCCAGTAGAAAATTCTCAGATAATCCTTGATTCAGATTTTGTTTCTCACTACAGTTGCAATTGCTGTTTTTGTTGCAGAAGACTTAATTATTATATTATTATAATTATGTGGTAGGGGACAACTGGTGACTTATGGAGTCATGGATGGGGAGAAGTGCAGGTAGGATAGTGAAGTACTTTCTGAGAGGCTGCATGAAGGTGAGGAGCAAAGTTAGGAAGGGAAGTAACTCCATTCTCACTCCCATGCCCTAGCTGTTACGTATTTGCTAACTAAAATGTGCAAGACAGCCCAGAGCCCAGTGAAACCTTCCTTAGAGGTTGAGATGAATGCATCCACCACAACAGAAACAAGCCATGCCTGTGGCAGCCTTCTTTCCAGGTTTCTTTTCTTTGACTCTCACCCTCTCTCATTTTTTTTCCCCTAAGTTTRTCTGTTTTCAGTGTAAGAAGTAGACTGTGAAGAAAAGCTCATCTTTCCCTCCCCCACATAAAGTACTGTACTGATAGGATGCCACCTCTAGCTTTGAAAGCGTAATGGTTTTGTTGCACCGATTGCTATTGCAATGGAATGATACTTATCATTTCAAGCAAGAGCAATTCATAGTCTGGTAATTCTTCAGAAATAGGATTATTGTCTCATATTCAAAATAGCTGAAAGCTAAATAGAATATTTGGACACTTGCATTTCTAGAATGTCAGTTCTTTTGCAAAAAAAAATCTTTCAAAATAATCAAAGCAGTATAATTTGGGAATCTACAGTGTACATCTTTGCTAAGCTGGTCTCTCCTGTGTGCTTGAAGGCATGAATGAGGTAGGTGGCCCAGTTGATTATATGCTTGTCCTGTGCATCACTCAAAATTCAGTGGTCAGCGACCAAGCTTAGTGATACAGAAGTTCAGGGATGAAACAATAAATTGCATGTTATTTTCTAATAAAGTGCATAGTGAAACAGTGATCATCTCGAAGCATTGCCAGTGGCTTCAGGACCGAGCTTGCAGACAGAACTGTGTGGCAGTTCTGTCCCACTGGCA